TTATTAGTTATATTTATCCCTGCGTATGTTAGTGTGTCTCTCGGATATAGTGTGGAGGAGGTCTGCTAATGGAGAAACTGAAATTACTGCCAGAAGCTGTGCATTCTCAAAAAAGCCATTTTAGTACAGCAGTGGACTGATAATCAGCAGCACCAGCAATAGCGAAATCATTATTTGTGACACATTACAAACGCACTGTTGCTACTTGCAAAACTAAACAGCACTGAATGGAATCAAGTCTACAATGACATTTATGCCTCGGGTACATTTCAAAACCATCCCTGCATAACCGTATACAGTAGTGCTGCACAATATATCATTTGTCGCTATCCAGTTTGGGCACAGTATTCATCCTTAACATTGTCTGGAAATTTAATGAAGAAGGAATCAACAGAAATGCTCCGAAATTGCTTGGAATAAAATCTCTATTCATTAACTTACATCAAAAATAAGGAATGTTTTTACCCACTCCAGAAAAGCTGACATTTTGGAGATTTTTTTATTAATCAAATTATTACATTTGTATGCTCCTGATCAACCTTGTGGGCTTTGATGAGTCACATTATCCAACAAGCGCATATAATTTTAATCTAAATAATGTAGGCTAGTCTTTAAGCATGGCACATCAAAGAGTTCTTTAATATGTTTCTACTATATGAATGCATAATGCAATTGCAATACGTAGCAATACAACTGCAGTACAGCTTTGCTCAGCCCACTCCCCCAAACTATGTATTAAAACTAAGCAGCGAAAACAAGCTATTTTTAATTCAGTAAACTTTTTTACATATATTTGCTTATTCAGCCTACAGCATTCACGCTCCGCCTATTTACGTTGAAGTTATAAAGACTGTTTCAACTTAGACTGCTTTTTCAATGAAGCCCAACACAGGGTAGTCAATCAGAACAGATGTTATTGACATAGTTCAGTCTTAAAGGTGCAGTAAAAAAGACTGAATGTGTAATTTGAAAGGATAAAAAGTGGTTGGAAAACGGTTATGTAAAAATGAATTATGACACAAAAAAACCACACAACTGTGGACTAGATAAATACGAAAACATGGCCCTTTAACTGCCTAAGGATCTCACTCACTCAGTCATAATGAAAGTGAATATATTAAAGCATTAGCTGAGGTCAGATGCTGCTGTTTTGCTCTTTAATATGTTACACCTCAGCTAATACTCATCTGCTAAAGCAGGAGTAGCTCTATTTTGTGTGTGCACATGTGAGTGCATGTGTATGTGGATCCCTGCATGCATATCGTCGCTGTCCATGTATCTCCATTTTTTTTACTTTTACTTTTCTGCATCATTTGAGCCTGGCAGCTGTCATTTACACTGTGTGAAAATTTCAGGATCAATGGACAGATAGAAATGCTCTAAAACAGCTTGGAGTAAAATCTCTTTACACTAATTTACACTAATTAAGCGAAGAGTGTTTTCATCCTCTCCTGTAAAATGTACCAATTTTGAGATCATATCAATCATAACAAAACGACTGTTTTTAGTTTTTTGTTTTTTTTGCACCTTTTTAAAACACACCATTGACATTGTGTGAACTCTTTTCACAATGAATGGACCAACAGAAATGGTGCACAATTAGATGGAATAAAATATCGTTATAGTTACGAATGTTTTCTGTTCTCCTAAAAATATGTCAATTTCTGAGATATGAGGTTTTCTTACAACATCCACATTATCTGAGACATTAACGTCACCATGGGCCCAGTTTATCAGCGACTGATACAGATCACTAATCAATCAACTAATCAACAAATCACTTGCTCTGTTGCTCTTTTCCTAAGCTAGCTAAGAACCACGTCCAATAAACTAAGCCCTGTGAAATCTACAGCATTTACATTAAAAAGTAGAGATGAACCAATGGGAATTGGGTCAATGTCGATATCCAATATTTTTCAAATCTGCCAAAACCGATACACATTTATTAAATATAGAAATTGGGACTAAATTAGCACTGACGTTTCTGTAGGGTTACAAATGCAGTAAAGTGAATAAAATGTAGAAATTTTAGCACAATAGACCAGCGTCGCTTAAACACTCATCATATATCTGTTTAAAATATCAGTCAAATCTGTATCTGTCCACGACTGATCATTTTTTAAGCTGCTGATACCCATAAGATTCCAATATCATATCAGTAAAAGAATGCCCTTTGAAGAGTGAAACTACATTCAAGAAAATCGCTAAATACAGGGTGATGCAAACAAAGGGAGAGATTCATTCAAAAGCTGCACTAATGACAATAAAAGTCCCTTTAGAACAAGCCATTCACAGATCCTGTCTTGGCCCAGTTTTACAGCTGTTTTTACAACTCCACTTTTATCCAGCATGCAGCACTACATCCTTTTTACCCTCACAGCAAATCCAGTCTCCGCTTGAGTAGGACAACAAGCTATGGGCTTTTGAAACGCACTACCAAAATCAACTGACTCTGCAGCCGAAGCCAATTCAACCTTTTCACATTTCCGCACATTCCCACCCCAGTCGAGCACAGTTCCAGTTTTCAGTTATGCAGGGTTATGTGAGCAGTGACAGAATGGTGTCTGTATTATGTGCCTAGAGTCATGTTGATGACTAAGCACCACACTACCGTGTTAGTATGGCTAAATCTATAACACACAAAGAATAAATATAGACTGCATCTGATGAAACATCTCTGACATCATGAGCAGCATTTCAGCATTATTTAGGGTATTGTCAGGGTAGATTATCTACACATTTGTTCGTTCCAGATAACATTTTAAAAGTCACCATTTTTGTGATGTCATCACATTTACATATACCTACTGATTCATCCCTATAGCACTTTAGCTCTGCATCTTCATGCTTAAGTTATAAAGAGTGTTTCAAGCCGGACTGCTTTTTGAATGAGGCACAATACAGGGCAGCCAATCAGAACAGAGCTCATTTACATATGGCACAGCCACTTAATTCTAAGAGGAAAAATGATCAGATAAAAATGACTTATGGCACATAAAAGCACACAAAAGTCATAAGAGGACCTCAGGCGGAAAAAATAAAATCCAAGAGTAATGCATGTGGAACTCTTATCGTGCAGAAGAATTCCTGCTTTTCCGATCCTCTAATTGTCTCCATGACCCAGCCATGCTCTGATAGCAGTGCAGAAGGGATGAGCCGTCCCATCCCCCATACACACACGCTCCACTGCTGTAAGGGGAAAAAGGCCCAGCATATCCTACACCAAACCAAGCCCATCTACAGCACATCAGCAACTGAGCGGAACAGGAATGTATTTGAACCATCAGCTACCGAATATGGTTTTTTCTTTGTTTTGCATTGTACTGCATTATGCAACTGCACAATGCCGACTCCTACAACAACCCCACATATTTTCACAAGCTTGCTCGTGGTGAATACAGGCCTACTTTTTATGTTTAGCACTGGGATGCACAATGATATCATCAGTATAATATCAGTATTGGAAGACAGAGCATAGGAAAGATGTTTAGATTTGATGGTGTATTGATTGTATCTTGGAAGAGCAGAAACATTTAAATGATGCTGGGATACTGTGCTAAAATATCTCCATTTCACTACTGTGTAACCCCACAGGAATGATGGTGCGCTCATTTTTAATGCTAATCCGGATGGATTTAGTCCCATTTCCACATTCCACATTTTATAAATGTTCATGTACCAGCATCAGCAGACATTTACATTAAAAATTGGCCATATAGGTGCATTGGTAATTTAATGCATTTCATATTTATTACCCAGTACAAGCCAGGCTTATTCAATAGACTCATTTTCAGACGCAGTACAAATGTACCCGCTTATGGGAGGCTCGGGAGACTATACTTTCTGAAAATGTCATATCCAGGCATTTGGGTATGGCATTTTCCAACAGCTGCATTGCTACAGAATATGAAAATATCAAGAAGGAATCATCCTAATGCAACTACATCACTATAGGTCAAGGCTTCATGCATTCAGAATGAGAGAGTAAAGCAGCTGATGATCTTTTTGCCTTCTGGCAGCCTTGTCTGATCTTTCCACTGCCCTAAACAGCCCTCCTATGTAACACTTGTAAGGCCTCTGGTCCCTAAGGGGGGCTATCAGCATCTCTGTATGTGCTCGTCTTGTGGATGCTGCTCAAAGACAGGCTCCTTCCACATCAGCCAGTGTAACTCTCTGTTCGTGCCTCCAACTGTAGAAATGAGTGAATGTGTACTGCGCTGCTAGACAAATATGGGAAGCGGAAACTGCAATCACGCACACAGGAGAGGGCTGCGCATTTGATGCCCCCCCCCCTCTTCCATCCACCATCGTTCAGCTGAGGACGCAGTAGCCGCCATTTAACGCAGCCGTGAGGAGCCACGGTTTGAGGTTGGCTTCTCGTTCGAATCTTCCGTTCCACCTTAAATGGTGCAGCAGTTACATTCTGGCGCCTCATTTAAGGTGGAACGGGAAATTCGAACGGAAAGCTGGCGAATGAGCAGCCTCGTAATCTTCCTCACATATGGAGCTTTAACGCAGTGCTGCTCACCCTGACTCCGCTCTCAGAGCAGCATTAATACACCAGGACCACCGCTCTCCCCCATTCATCAGTCCCACCATCATCACCGCAGCGATACGCTCATCATATTGCGATTATAGCCACCCTAGTGCCATAAGAAGCTTTATTAACGCCTCAGTCCATCCACATTCAGGGCGTTTCTGCTTTTCTCCACCTTTGTGCACCAGCAGCATGATTAGCTACAGGATGCTGCTCATTTTAAACGACACCTAAACGGAACAGATGAAGCTCTGCCTCCTTAACAATAGCGCAGGAAAGAAAATGAGAGATAAACGTCCTCGCTGTTCACCCGAGACGCACACAGAGAGGAGCGAATGCGCAGGGAGCACCGAGGACGCGCACGCACACCTAAAAGGGCCTAAAACACATCGCCACATTTTCTTTACCCCACATGACGAGACTGATGATAGAACACATTATAAGGTAATAGGGGTGCACTTACTTTCGCCGACCACCGCCTTTAATCCGATGGGTGCCATGATGCTGTTGCTGAGTGATAGAGAGTGTCTCCTTCCTCCTCTCTCTCTCTCTCCCTCTGTCTTTCTCCCTCTCTCTCTCTGTGTGTTGGAGACTGCGGAGGCTCCGCTGAGGGAGGCGTCACTGCGCCCCGCCCTGCAGCGCTGCTGCTGCTGCTCCTCTACAACCTAATCACTTTACACACACACGAGCTCCACAATCATATAAGACGCGGCTCATATCATTCATCACGAAATATCCATTAATAAATATAGAGGTTTGGGGGATGTTAAATACGTCACAATCTCTATCTGTATAAAATATATCTATTTATCTGTCTATGTGTATTTATTTACTTTTATTTTAATGCTTTTATACCATTGTCATATTTTATTATTTATCTACTTATAACATGTATTATTTTCAAATCATATTTTTCAAAAACATTTTGTATTTTTAGATTTTAATTTTTCTCCTATTTATTTATATATTTATTTATTCTTTCATTCATTCATTTATTCTTTTATTCATCAGTCATTTTATTTACATTTTTTATCATTTATTTTTTTAGATTTTTCATTTTTCTAAATTTATTTATTTATCTTTATTTTTATATTTTTAATTACTTGTTCATTTGTGCATTTATTCATCAATCATTTCTATGTTTTTACCAGTTACATTCTGATTTTAATAATATATATGTATTTAATAATATATAATAATATATACTTTCTCCTATTTATTTATTTATTTATTTGTTTGTTTGTTTGTTTAGTTATTTGTAGTTTTTGCCATTTAATTTTTTATGATATATATTATATTTTGAATATCTCTCAAGTATTTGTATTTATTTATGTATATATGAATTCATTTATGTAATATTTTTGCTTCAAGAATGTTTAGATTTTAACATTTGTTTGTTTGTTTATTTATTTACTTATTTATTTAGTCAGTCAGTTAGTTAGTGAGTTAGTTATTTTCCTGCCTTATCACTTTTCTGTATGCTCTTCTTTATGCCATTGAATTAAACTCTGTGAACACCTGTAATCTTCCTTGTTGTTCTACATTTGGAATCATTTTAAACTGAAAAGCACTGCTGTTGTGGTTTGCTTTAATGCCCTGTTATTTCGTTTCCCACCTGTATTCAGACAGGCCCCGCCCTCCTGCGCTGAGATTGGCTGGTAGTTCATTCTCGCCACAAGTTATCATCATAATGCAAACAGTTTATATTCTTTAAAAATGCGATTAGGTGGTCGCCATAATCACTGTATCATAAGCACGTGGTCTCTGTTTATGTCTTATAGCCCACGCTAATTATTTTATCATACATGCAGATATTTTTACATTTTATATTTATATGCAAATTATTGTTTTCTGTCGCAAATTATGAGCTATTTTTAGGTCCATTAAGCAGAAGCTGTAAATCAGTCTGTTAATCTCATCACAGATTAAATTAGTATTTCTGATTAGTTCACTCAAAATGGTTTACATACATTTTGATATAAGTTTATATATGAAATACATGCCTTTCGCAAAGTGTATAAAACTCATCAGTGATGATGTGTGATTTGTGTGTGCAAAACCATACAGTTTAATATTTTTGTAACTGGTATTTGAGTACCAAATGTGTCCACAAGAGGGCAGCAAAGCATTTTATTTCCAAATTCCATTCCTTTTTCTGATCTACTGGATTCATTTCTTTAGTCCTGGCTCTGAGTGTGATTTTCCACCTAATTAAACATGCATATTCTCCATATAATGACTGGTTAAAGACTAAAGAGTCCAGTTAAGGCTTATTTGGTAAACGTGTGACATGTATTGTTCATTTACACCAATCAGCCATAACATTAAATCATCTCCCTGTTTCTACACTAATTGTTTATTTTATCATCTCCACTTATTATATAGGAGCACTTTGTAGTTCTACAATTACAGACTGTAGTCCGTCTGTTTCTCTGTGTACTTTGTTAGCCCCCTTTTACACTGTCCTTCAATTGTCAGGACCACCACTGGACCACCACAGAGCAGGTACTGTTTGAGTGGTGGATCATTCTTAGCACTGCAGTCACACTGACGTGGTGGTGGTGTGTTAGTGTGTGTTGTGCTGATACGAGTGGATCAGACACAGTAGTACTGCTGGAGTTTTTAAACACTGTGTCCACTCACTGTCCACTCTATTAGACACTCCTACCTTGTCAGTCCACCTTGTAGATGTAAAGTCAGAGACGATAGCTGATCTGCTGCTGCACAGTTTGTATTTGTCATCCTTTAGTCCTTCATCAGTGGTCACAGGATGCTGCCCACAGGACGCCGTTGGCTGGATGTTTTTGGTTAGTAGACTATTCTCAGTCCAGCACTGACACTGAGATGTTTAAAAACTCCGGCAGCACTGCTGTGTCTGATCCACTCAGACCAGCACAACACACACAAACACACCACCACCACATCAGTGTTACTGCAGTGCTGAGAATGATCCACCACCTAATGTTGGTCCTGTGCGGGTGCTGACCGTTGAAGAACAGGGTGAATGGGGGCTGAAGAACTGTAGAACTACAAAGTGCACCTGTATGTAAGTGGAGCTAATAAAATGGACAATGGACAAGGAGGTAGTTTTACTGCTGTGGATTATCTGTGTATATATATCACAGTATATGTTTGCTTGTAGACAGGAAAAGGATGAAAACTACATGAAGAACAGTTTCTTTTTCAGTATGTGTGTTTACTTGGTTCTAGGTGCAGAAATGAGTTCTAGGCAAGAGGTCAGTGGTGATTTGTAGTAGCTGAAGTTTGGGACGAAGCTGAGGTCAGCTTCTTATTCAGATTTTCCGTTGCACCCTAAACAGTACAACCGACAAATACACAATGTTTATGAAATTAATAATTTTGAATTATGCCAGTTTATTTTCTTTTTTATACACGTTCTTCTTCCTGACTGCTTTGAAAACAGTTTTCTATGGAGCCCTGCTGGTCACATCCTGTATAAATAAACATAATGTGTGGCCATGACTTAGTAAAGCGTGGGAACAAGATAATTAAGTTGTGGCCACAACTTAGTAAGGCATGGGAACGAGATCCTAATGCATGGCCACAACTTAGTATAGCATGGGAATGAGATCATAATGTGTGGCCACTACTTACTAAGGCATGATGTTGTTCCCACGCCTTACTAAGTCATGGATGTCACCAGTGGGGCTTCGTACCACCATACAGAGTCCCGCTGGTGACATCCTGTATAAATAAAAATAATGCGTGGCCACGACTTACTAAGGCCTGAGAACGAGATCCTAATGCGTGGCCGCGACTTACTAAGGTGTGGGAGAGAGATCCTAATGCATGGCCATGACTTAGTAAGACATGGGAACGAGATCCTAATGTGTGGCCACGACTTAGTAAAGCGTGGGAACGAGATCCTAATGCATGGCCACAACTTAGCAAGGCAAGGAAATGGGATCCTAATGCGTGGCCACAACTTAGTTATGCGAGGGAATGAGACCCTAATGCATGGCCACAACTTAGTAAGGCATCGGGGCAAGACCCTAATGTGTGGCCACGACTTACTAAAGTGTGGGAATGAGATGATTAAGCCTTGACCACAGCTTAATAAGGCATGATCTTGTTCCCACACCTTACTAAGTCATGGCCACGACTTCATTATCTTGTTCCCACACCTTACTGACTCGCATCACGGGACGTCACCAGCAGGGCTCCTTCATGATTACTCCACAAGATCTTCTAACAACCTCCACATAGCTTTCTTCATGACGTCACGTGGACAGTTTGCACTCTCTCATGGAGGATCTCCAACTTGCAACTGTCTACCACGTCATGGTACCAAGCAACTACTCTCACTCTAACAAACCTAAATGTAAAACGCTGAACTATGTGTTTGTGTTTTTGTGATTTTTGTTTTGTTTTTTATGTGTTTTTTTTATTTTAATTTTACTTTCCCTGCACATTCTCCCTTTTTTGTATTTACTATAGCTTCTTGTATAAATAATACAAAAATAAAAAATAAATAATGGAAAAAAAAAAACTTTTCTGGAAAAACTCCGAATGAGAGGCTGTCTGGTTCGGGGCGGTGCCTGACTGAGCCTGCTCACTTCACCACACCCTCAGTGTCACACATACTTCACTCAGTGCGGTAGGTCAGTAATGACTCTCCTGAACGGGTAAATGTGAGTGTGGAGCTCCGTGTCGGTACCTTCTTCACTTTTAACTAGCAAAAATTCACTTTTTGAGTTCAGCACATCGCTAAAACTCAGTGAGCTCAAGCCTGGAGGAGCTGAAACACTACAGCTCTGGGGATGTTGTTTCCTTGGAAGGCGCTTAGGAGAAAACGCGCGAAACAACTTTCCGTTTTTTAGGGTTTCTCCTCCAAGTAACGTCAGTTAGGCTTTTGGTGCGTTTTCTGGACTTTGCCAACACTGTTTTGCCACCATGGGGGACGTGGTATCTACCCACTTGGATGAAGGAAGGCGAGAGATGATTTCAGGTAAGCCCACCCTCACCCTCCTCACCCTCAGGTGTGATAGACCTCAGTCGAAGTAGTTCTGTGGGGAGCTGGGAGAAGACTATAAAACCCTCATATTAGACCGAGCAACTTCTGCTAACTGCGTGGGAAAGTGCTGTGTGAGAGCTGCACTCCCTAATTAATCTGCCTTGTAGTTTGTGTAGTGGCTTCTCTGCTTAAAGGACAACTCCACCGATTTTTCAAAAGTTCTACATAATTAAATGGTTGAGACGTAAACAAAGCCACTCAGAGTGGTTTGCTGTGAAATGCTCCGTTCTAGAAAAACTGAGTCAGAATTGTTCACTGCGGTGCTGATAGGAACCAGACGTCTGAACCTCTGAAAGCTCCCTCACAGAAAGTTATTAAGTTACATGAAGTGGCTGGATATATGCTGCCTGATATCTGACACTTTGTTTTATGATAGTTTTGTGGTAAAGTTTTGGCTTAAAATAAATTTTAATGCATTCGTGGCGGAGGGATACATGCCCGGTATTGCGAAGAAAAATAATCCCCAAAGAAAACTTTTTTTTTCAGATTATGCCTATTTTACCATCATCAGCATTCCATATAAAAGCTCACGACGCATG